TGCATTTTTGGATCCACCAAATCCCTTCGAATCAGGCGGTAATCCGAAATCTTCTCTGAAACTTGCGAGAGCCAATACCGATCCCATGACACCGGTATCGTAACCTGCATAAGCCATCATATGTCAGTCATGTTCAATCATCTTGATTGGTCTTGGCGTTATGGCACAAAAGTTTAAAATCATTGAGCCGACACGGAAAGGATTTATCAGGGGATATTATCCAGAAAGAAGGGATAACGTACCGAAAAGTAACGATCCCATGTAAGCCACGGCCGTCAGGAGATAGACGCGGTAATTTTTGAAGAAAGCGGACGGCATATTGGCGGTTTTGCTGTTCGCAGCAAATCTTGACAAAGTTGGTATTTTATTGTTCGACGAGAGGCCGATGAGGGAGAGAGAAGCAGACTCATTTGGGGAGAGGTATTGATGTATCTTATGTACTTGCCGAGTTGGCTAATGTGGAATCTATGAGCGGCAACATATTTTTGGTGGATGAGAACTGGATTCGCAGCTCATTCGTGCGAATATTTTGTTATCATTTTGACACTTGAACCAGGGAGAGTAATTCCACCATTTACAATGGAGAGAATGGGGAAAATGGAGAAGTAGATTTTAGACCAACTTTATTTGGAATAGTTGGGCGGTTCCCCATTGTTTAGTCTTGAGATTGTTGAGCAAGCTTTTAGATTTAGTTTTATTGTTGCCGATATTATTCAGGGGTCGTGATTAGTCGATGTGGATTTTAGTGTCAATAATCCCCGCGGGGTCGCATATACCAGGTACTTTTGCCCACGGGGTTAATGGTTTCACCGAAATCATACTTTTTCTTAGTACAAATCCGAAATTTCTGACAATTACTTGCTTGATCATATGTCATTTGGCTTCAATGCTGGATAAATTCTTCCTGATGCAACAGTAATTGTCAGATCAACTTAAGCTTGAATAGACTAAGCTTCCTTTCAGAAATTGATCATCACCCAGGAGTCTGGAATCTACCGGCATGGGGCAGCTAAGGCAAATCACATTTCAATCTGCAAACACGAAGCAACAAGGATGGTGATAGCTGTTGTGGAGAAAGGTGGTTGGTAAGATGGGGTTTACGCATGATTTTGCTCGGGGTCATCCGAGGTATCAATGTTTACGCGTTGGCAAATAAGAACAGCTCCGCTCGCTGGAGGCTGTAGACTGGAGTTCATTTCTTACTAACTTAGGAGAATCTGAGAACTCCGCAAAATTCAGTTTGTGGAGAGAGTATGGAGAAATTATCAATTCTGGTTGCTCTCGGATACCCCGGATGGGGTCGAAATTGCAAATTTCTCAATCAAAGCAAAACCAAGGCAAACGATCACTCAGCATAAGCTTCCTCAATGCGAACAGTGATCTTGGCTGTCCTCGAAAAAAGTATCGATACTCATGTGGGTATCGTGACCTTTGACGCCGTCGTGGGAACAATGCTACCTGCGGTAATCCGCAAATTCAGCGTCTGTTTTCTCTGTCGTCTAGCTTCGCCTGTTGGAAGATGTTAGAAATATTGGCGCCGTCCTTAACTCGCGAAAAAGCAGCCTTGCTGCGCCTAGAGGAATAAGAAATACTGACTATCGTCAACAATTGATATACGCCCAGGACAGCATGACGATATACAAACACAAAAATTCCTACGGAGAAATTCTGTCCAGCTCAGCTCAGTCAAACCCAAAAAATGGGTCGCTAGCCAACTAAGCAGAGCTAGTAAGGTAGAAAAACATCATAGCATCCACAAGCCATGATTTTATTATTCATCTATGCTTCCGGAATTATCTCTCGGTTGTGACACTATCATTTTCTTTCTCCGGAAAGGGGAACGATAGACAATCTTTCACAATGCTTACATTACGAAACTTATCTTGCAACTTTTGCATGATACTTCAATATGCTTCACTCACTTGACAGGATCAGAAGGGAGTTACAAAGCGGCTCCCTTCGTTTGGATGTCGCTATGTTTTGCCCTAGCGAAAAAGGAGGATAATGGATATGGTTGCTATATCGATTTGCTTGATCAACTGCCCCTTTAAAGCGGTGTACTGAATGAAGGAGGTCGGTTGCGATAGTTTTTTTTCGCAAAATACTCTTTCGCTACCGAGAACCACAAGTTCCTCCAGCAACAGTAGTTCTTTTTCGCAAACTCATCGGCTATGTGTACGAAAAAGGATAGTGTCAATATATTGTTCGTTCCCCCTTAATTGTTATCTGCATTACAACTGTCGAGAAGTCAGTCTGGTCAAGAGCACGGTTTTTGGACATGAACGGAATGAATATTTCCCTAGTCTCTGACAACCATCATACCGAGAAGAAAGAATACACGTACCGATATCGACACGGGGAACATCTACTTTCACACTCATTTCCACCTCAACACAACGAACTGTCTTCCCTTCAACCGATTGCGAATCTTCACCTCCATCATACTTCGAAACCTAAAGACGGATCAATCTTCGGGTAGGAATCAAGAGAAACAAATATCATACGACTTATCACATCCCATCTTAAACCTATATACGCTGTGCGACATGTCGACAAGCCGCTTGCGTCAAGACCTCATTTTGTGTTTTCGCTTTCCAAGTTTTCTTGCCACCTACCAAGTTATTTGTGATTTTGCAATGAAATGCGAAGCAAATTGCAACTACAAGATATTTGGATACTTGCTTATTTAAAAGGCAAATTAACCAAGTCTCGACTCTTTACTTTTTCAAAAACCTCTCATGGCTCTATATTTTGTCTCCGAAATACTGAGTCCGCTACAGTTTCACAAATCTAAGCCACATTCAACTCACGCTTCTTCCTTAATCAATCTACATCTCCATGTCCGTTCAAAATCACACGGTCTCATCTCATTTCATGATCTAAGTACATCCCATCTCGCACCGATTTCACCTGTCACCAATTCTCCACTCCGATCGGAAAAATCCCAAATAAGAGTAACCGAAATAAAAGCCCCTTTCCTCTCCGTCGAAGCTATACTGGCGAGTGTGCCTCGACCCAAAATCCCTAGTACAACTTCACAACACCATCTCGCTTCTTTCGTGTTACAACTCTTCATCTCCTAACACCCCCGAAGAAAAGCTTTGAGATGTGAAACGTCTCACCGTATAAAGCTCAAGTCTCTGCATCTGCCCCTCCACCATCTCGCATCTATCTCGCACGAAAAATAAAATGGCGTCCGATGCCAGATCTCGACCCGCCGTACCACGCGACTGTTCAGCCTTCCAATACATTGCGTCCAAGCCACCGATCTCATACTTTATACTTCTTCAGAGCATCGCATCCTTGACCGCCGTTTTCCCAAACTCGGAATTTTCTTGGAATCTGGGATTGTGGATCTATACAAATTGAATTAGATTAACGAAGTTGTATTTTCTCGGCCAAATCAGTACGACGTAGCACTTTTGCATATGCTGCGCTCTACTTCGATATGTTGCCCGTGCGGGTTAGATTGAGAGGGGATACAGATACAAATATACACCAATAAAACGTCGGAGAGAAAGTAAATACAACGAAAGGTCTTCTGGGAGTAACGGCGGGCGGTAGAAGCAAAGATAATATTCTTATTTTTGGGGTGTTTACTGATCATCTAGCTCACTCTATTCAGGGCAGAAAAAAAGGTAAACATGCGCACAAACACACAACTTACTCAGACATAATTTCTAGATGGACCCTTCGGCTGCCTCGTTCCTCGAAAAGCCTTCTTCCCGCTGGGCTCACGTCATACAGTGATTTAGCATCTAGCACAATCCTACCGCTCATTTAGTTCCTCCACAAAGGAACCTCATAGTTGGCAGACACGAAACTCCATGCATCAAAGCCAAGCTCTGTCATCCTGTCTCCTATCCGATCTCACCGGGGAAGAATCTCTTCTCTTCCTGCAGATTTTGTTTGCGGGATGTTCGACCTATGGAGAGACTTACTTACACTCCGGATGGTACCCTGGGTGTGTGTGAAACCTATCTATATAAAGGGCGTGAAAAACGTTATGACGTAGATGTGTACAACAGCATGCTGTTCCTTGAACAATATCAACCATGCATACATATATATGCTTCACGGTAATTCCCTTGACATCTTTCAGCGTAGGTAGGTGGGTATTATATCGGCACATTTCCTCACCAGCATGTCTATTTGTGCCACGGGAAATGAGAGGCTTGAATAAGGATTCCGGAAGGGTGGGATCTGTCTGCCTGAAGACATCGGGCTTTTCCCTTCCCTTGTCAAAAATAATATAATATCACAACTTGACTGCCCTTGCAACTATCCCAAAGAGGACTAGGACTCCCATCACATCTCATCTCAAAACAATCTAATCCATCAATCTCACACGCTCCAAAAATAACCCATTTCCATCCATCTCATCTCTTCTCATCTTAGGCATGCTCCCCCAATCCCAGCATTCTAGAACTGCAGATCCAGAACCATACCACCTACCCTCCATTTTTAAATTGACATCAGTCTATTCTTCGGAACTATCTTCCTGATCGTACCACACACAATTTTTGAGATTCCCATAACCATGGATCTGGATGTCGGGGTGGGATTCAAACTTTAACCAGAAAATCGGAATTGGTGTTCATGTCACGAGGAGTAACGATTTGGGGCTACGGTGTAAGGTTTTACGGGGCTGTTTTCGTGATATCGGGAGTGAGATAGCTATGAAGGAGGGAGACTAGACGGTTCATGCAGAGAGATATACTTGTTTGCGAGGCTTTTATTAGGTACTCGCTCATCTCATAGGTATATAAAGGTTACCCGGAATATATAGCCTGAATACCCACCCGATAGAATATAACACCCGATATCCCATCCGGTACTCGTGAAAACCAATATCGTATAATTAATTTCTTTTGTCTTTTCATACCCTTTCAATTTCCCTTCCTCACTCATATCATATCCTTCCTCGTCCTCTTTAATACCCCTCAGTTCACGTAAGACACACATACTTCATCCCGTCAAACAAGCTTTCTCACTCTCCATCAATAATCCGCCCACATGATACGGCGCTTCTTCAAAACGCCGGTGCGGCCCGTCGATTCGTCGGATAATCCCTTGCGGTACTTATACCCATCCCGTGTTATCTGATCGGGTCCCTTTTTCTTAGGTGGCTTTGTGTTACGGCTTTGCGGGGTGTTTTGCTTGGAGATGAGGACTTTTTGGTGTTGGTAGATAGATCACCTATGTCAAGTAACATCGTGAGGTTTTTGATTAAGAAATTCAAAACTTTTGATGGGGAGATTTGATGGGTTGTGTGGGTGTTGACGATACAGTCGTATGCTATAGAGATGAAAATATAAAGAGAAGAATATAAGGAAGAGATTATATGGGATGCATCGTCTGTATAGTGAGTATAGTCTGCAACATGATGGACTTACCATTTCCAAACCGCTGTATATCGACATAGAATCTTCATATTCTCATCCATGAATCTCTTGAGTTCAAATTGAAATCAATCAACTTGCCAATCGATAATTCTGACACTGCAGGATAATTGTCCTTTGTTAACGGATATGTCTTCCAAGCAAGACCCCTTTTCACTCCCAATCTAGAACATACCTGGAATCTGAATCACTAGTAGATTTAACTCTCTCGCCCTGAGCCAATCCACTTATAATGTTCCGATGAAGGCTGTCAAATCACAGCCCATATAAGGAAATTCCATGGAATACCCGCCATTCAATACCATCGCTAGGCAAGCCAGTCTAAGTTATCTATCTGTTCGACTGTAGAATAAGACATTGCTCGAAATGTATTGATCGACCTTACTGACAATTATCGACTTAGCCCTGGAAACATCTGTGTATCTGCGGATAATTTGTTGTTTTCTCTTTCGTATCTGTCTGTCTGTCTGTTGCGATGTGATGTATAAGTCAGGTCTTTTCAACAGCAACTCTTCCCTAACTGTTCATTCAGTCGTCTAGTTAATTGAAAATGCCCCTCGTTGTTGGCAGAAATAACTATGAGCATTGGACGGGAATATTGGACAGAGAGGTATGTATACCAAGAACGCTTCGAATTGAAGCCTAATGAGAAGATTTTTGACATAGCCACTTTGGTAGTCTGAAGTACATAATGCGAGATGCACGTACTAGGGAGAGAGGGAGAAAAAAAGAAGGGGGGCCCCGAAATAATTTTTAATGGGAAGTTGAAGTTCATGATGATCAAAGGTTGATTTGCAGCGCACGGCAAGCAAAAGCTACTTTGAGAACGGACTATTCCTTCCTGTATCTAACTTCGAAAAAGAAAAGCAGAAACAAACCCCTTCAATTCAAAAAACTTCAACATCGACTGAAGGGTAGAAGATAGAGCCTCTTACATCAACAATCAGGGGTATGACCTCAACCACCAAGACATATTACATCCGGCCAATCTCAACATCCCAATATCTCACCAACGTATGGCAGTCAAACAAAAGAAAGAACAATACCCCTAATCGCCTTGTGTCAAGATGATCATCTTGTCAAAAAAATGACGTATATAATTACCTACCTCATCAACACCATTCCAGCGACAAGCCAAATGCCGTGGGGCAAGATACTCGGGAGTCTGTTCGCCGGGGAAAAGTGGCCCGGACCCAGAACCTCGGAGGGGTCTGCTGATCCACCAGTCTAGATTTTGTTGTCCGATGTTTTTCGTAGCACCTTACTACCGGGCCAAAAAAATAAAATTTAACCTTAATACTTTATCGAGCTGTCGAAACTGTTCAGGGGTTCGCCTTGTTTTATTAAAAGGCACTAGGAAAATATGTGCAAGAAGTAATCATATGAACATGACGATTGTCTGCAGCTTTGACCGTTCTGTGGAATTCTTTCTGCATTGTGAAGATATTTGTATGCAACGTTGATCTGAAGAAAATTGAGACTTGTCTCACGATAGCGCATCCCGTCACTCTAAATGGAGAGATCTCTGGGGGTTGAAAAAGACAAGATGAGATGTGTACTTCACACGGCTTGAGATTCGGAGATCTAAATCTAGATTGGGTGTCAGGAGGATCGCGATATTTGAGAGAATGAGGTTGTGGACCATATAACGGCCTTCCTAAATTGCCGATCTTGTCAGTATGCATGGAATTGAGTGGAATCAGGCATCGGGTAGCGGTCAAGAATCACCACAAGAAAGGTGATAACCCTTGAATGAAGATTTTTTCGGGTTATTTCGCAGAAAAGCTTTCGTATTCTATGCAGTGAGCTATCTAAGGATCGATCGCAATCTCAATAAACCGCGCAATAACAAAGGATTCTTGGTATCACCCCTCAGTAGAACACTCCAGTCTAACATGACAGGAGCGTTCCGCTCCTGTCAATTTGATTGATTACTGAACAGTCCCAATATGATGCTCATCCAGAATATGGGTGCTGATTGATGAGCGTCCGATCATTCGGCGTATTGACTCTGAGAGATCGAGCTTGTGATTCCAAAGATCTGAAAAGATCTGCCACCAGATCGAAGAAGCCACGCTATTCTTCAGCCAATTGCACTGGCTAACATGAGGAATATCGTTTGCCATCCAGAAAAGGACCGTGAAAGAAAGTTGTCGGCAAAAATCGGTAAGGTATTTCTCAATAGCTCCTCCGAATGTGTTCAAAACGGGAACACATGGAGGCGAGCACTCTTACACCTTGGTACGCCATGCCATACTATTCTCAGGGATAACGCCCGCGATCGATATCCGACGCCTGTATATTTTCATGAAGCTCATGTAGAAAACAATTGCGAGGAGACAAAGACCGGTGGCCCCAAGCATAATGATTAGAACCGTGAACCCTTTCACTGTCGCCTTCATAAGGTATGTGGTGATGAATCGCGACGTTGGCTTCCAAATTGATGTTTGTAGAAAAGGTTCAAAGCCGAATACGCCAAAATTATTGCTACACACGCGATAATAGATGGAAGAATGATTCGGAGTATGGTATCCTCTCCCACGGTATACATGAATCGAGGCTTGAACTATGCTTGAGTCTCGAAAATGCTATGGAGAAGGATATCAGACGATGTCTGTGATACAACGGCATGACTGCAAGGCCTCGCAGCTGCAGGAAGGATATATGATGATGCAAATGTGATAAATACCTTGCTATGTGTTTGTCTTGTCGGTCCGTGAACTTTCTGAAGATTGAGAATGACTCGTTTGTATTGTTCAAAGTCTTACGATCTGAACGCGGAAGAGAAGTCAAACTGTCTTTGAGGTAAGGTTCGTAATACGTAGTATATGGCTGTCTAGGGGTGCCATAGACAACGAGGGAAATAAATGATTTAATGGAAATAGAAAATAAGAAATAATAAGTAAGTGGACTTAAAAAACGACATCAGTCGGAAATTTGATGATCATGGTTATTCCATCGAGGAAAGAACTCATGATGGGGTTGAAAAGGTAATCACGACCTGCGACTGCGCCGACTGTTACCCCTCTAAGCATTTTAACCCCCAAACCCGTAACTGTACTTATCCCACTCATTCCGTGTCAAGGGCATTCATTGAAATAGAATGTGAAGAATAAACGCATGAATCATATCAATCAATTGACGCTCCATTGAGTGAGCAATGTAAAGTTCAGTCATTATGTTTGAAACTATTACATACCGATTTTTCATACCATGATTCCTGTTGTCCATGTCAATGGTGGGTAGTGCGGGGTTCAATCCCAGCGAGTGGTTCAGCTATCGACAATAATTTGAGGGGCTCCAAAACTCTAGTTCAGCGGCAATATGTCGTGATACCCAGATCTCAAACCAGATCTATGCAGGTGAGAAAAAAAATGTTTCTACCATGCGAGATATCCTAGCGGTTTCTGCATTAAAGTGGAAGAATCCTCATTGAATCCTTGTTCCAAATCAGCAAGCGCCTAGATGGGTCCAGAAATCGGGTGAATCCCTTTTCACTTCATTCCCCGAAGTAGATATGATCTCAACACATTTTGTCCACGCATTTCCACCCTTGCTGCTAATTCTCTCCAATATTGTTGTGTGACGTAGGATATTTGGTGAGTACGAATTATGAAGGTTCTGATACCCTTTGGCCCCCAATTCCCACCTAACAACGAGTAGGTCACGAAACAGAAAGATTGTGAATGTCGATGAATAACTATACATGCTTCGAAAGCTTCAAGAAAATTCTCGAAGTATTAGTTTTCCTAGTATCCTCAATCTGCTCACTAAAGTTCATTTGACACTGGAACAAATTGGTCACTTTTAATTGAGATGATGTTGTGATAGCCCTTGCTAGCCCTTGCTAGCCCTTGATAGCTGAGATTCCCACGAGACCTATAACAGGGTATCGAGATCGATCGTATACCCTTGAAACAAAAGCTTTGGAGGGGCGCCACTGACACGCCATACTGAAAATGGCAATGGGGTTGATAGAGGAGCTGACACTGCCTGACAGGAAGATTGTTGGGATGATGGAAAATAACACTTTTCCCGTGTGTCATTAAAGGTTTCACTAAAAGAGAGTTTCCATTTTATTCAATTGATTATCCTGAAATCAGATTGTATGAAGTGTACCGTAGCCCAATTGAACCTAAATTTTGGGAAAGTTGGTCAGGTGTATAATAAGGTAATACATTGATACTAAAAACAGATTGAGAGAGTTAATTTGTTCAGTCAGGCACAAAGCAAATAGAATGGGTGTGATATAGATGCTTCATTGACTTCAAAGGAAAGTGCTTACAAGGTAGATAGGTACTTTCAAGGGTTTAGACGGAAGAAATGTCTAAAAGAGAAGAAAGCACCCTCTGATGTAACATTCAATCTAAAATTCGATCGAGTTCTCATATCTCTTTATTGACTCCAGGTACATGGTTTTTTAGGGTGGTATTTTGCATCTTGTATTTCATTGCCATAAAATGCTCAATTGTTACTAACACGAGCCGAATGTGACAGTGGTGACGACTTGCCGGGTCCCGATGGCCCTGTAGTTTTCTCTTAGCGTGGCCGAGTGGATCTTACCGAGATAAGCATGGCTTGCGACTTACCACCGTGGGTCCTGGACCATCCCCTTGGGAATACCGCATAAAACCAAATCTTGCATTTCGTTGCATGAGATCTATACAACGTTCAAATCTTGGGTAGATCTAAGACGCCCACAATAATGTGTGTATCAGTGGAACCGGTTTCCCTTGCTTGGAATTCCCCGAGTAATAGTCTGAAGGGAAAAGAAGTAAAGTAAAAAAGGCCACACAGAGGAATTACCCGCAGA